TTAAGACTGAACTAGAAATTAATTGGAATACGTTTATATGGGCGTCATCACCTATAGTCCTAGTCTGTGACAGCCTCCCCTTTTAACAGGTTTTATATGTTATCTTCTGAAGGACTAGATATTTTGCATAGTCAAACCAATCCAAGGTTTCCTTAATTAAGTTTTCTAAATTAAGTGCAGTAACAAAAACTGAAGCAAAACACATTTACCACTAGTAATTATGTTATATATGAATCAGTAATAGTATATATAAAAATATGTGCCATCAAATTGTTTTTGACTCTTAGTAACCACATAGGTACTCTCCATAACCTGTTCTTTCAAGTGTCCCAACTTATTAGGTAGGCTGATATTACTGAAAGAAGATAGTCTGTAGATATCCAGACCATGAACTATGGAGGACTTTGAAAATAAAAATGAACATTTTGAATTGCTTTCAGAAATAAAATAGGAATCGGTGTGGTGGGTTGATGGTGTGCACTTAACACCACAATAACTGAGTGCATCCACCTTGCTGTTGGTTCGTCTCCTCCTGATTTTTTTTAACCTTTCCCAACATTAGAGTCTTTTTTAGAGAAGTGGGTCTTTGCATAATGTGCCCAAACTGTATAATGTGTGTGTGTATGTGTGTGTGTGTATATGTACATAGCTATGCTGATTGAAATGGATCTAAATAACCCATTTTCTTCCTTTTGCAGCTATAGCTTAACCACTTTCTCCACAACTTTCACCCTAAAGTGGAGGTTGGAGATGGTAATTGTCCAGTATATCTAAATTGGGTATCGTCTTCTTGAGGAGGGATATGTTGTCACTTCCTTCAGAGAACAAATGTTCACAGGAAATCACATATATCACTTTTTTATCCTTACAACAGCTCTGCTCTAGGAACAAGAAAGACTTGGGAAAGCCATTTAATCAGTTCTTGGAAGAGATTTGTTTTAAACTTCCTGATTGTAGCTATCTTTGCTGAATTTGAATTCTGAATGGAGAATTTTAGTCTCTTTTCCTTGAAATACTTACACTGCTCCAGGGAATTTCTCTTTTATTATTGTATGATAATCAAAGTCTTATTTTTTATATTGTGCAATTACAGATATAATTGTTATACATTGCATTACGCTCTTATCTTGTTGCACATGTGAATATTTAGCCTACTAGTTCCACATCTCAGAACTATTGCATTTTATGACTCCTTGAGGGCTAATAGTGAGCTTATGGTGCTGATTTTGGAAATTACTGCAGAAATGTTAAATGATGAATAAGAATAAGCCTTTCAAATGTAGGCAAACTGTATTAGTGAAGTCTTTGTACTTAGAACTAATGTAGTTCATCATCAGTAAGTTTTCATGCCACTAAAGAGAGTTGTAAAAAAATCCTTTTTGTATTTACATAGGGAAATCTGAGATGTTCCAAAGGTGTTCTAAAGAAATATTTATACACATAACTGTTTTTCTAGAATTACTGTCAGGAAGAGAAAATTGATTTCAAACAAAGCTACAAGACTCCTGTAGCAAACTTAAATAAAATCACATCATTTGTATTAACCAAAGAAAAGGCTAAAATTACTGAATGCTACTTGATTAGATTTAGACACTAACTGCAGGTAGTACAATGGCAATTGAGATTGAAATTTTTATTGCTAAGCAATATGATTGTAAAGTGTGAGATCACATGTCCATATTGTTTTGTGACAGCAATTCTAGCACTCAGTTTCTGGGTAACATGAGGACCACCCAAGTCATTAAGCAAAAACCTCATGTGATCATGACTTCTTACTTTCTGCTGGCTTCCCCATTGACTTTGCAGAAAAAATCGGATGCTGTGACAGCCAGAACTCCAAGGACTGGGTGTGAGTCCTCCTTGTTCTGCACTGTCATAACTTTGAACATTCACTTAATGAATAATGATAACCTGAGGACTAGCTGTAATGATGCTCTAAGAAATAATTTCACAAGACAGAATTACTATATCTGAGATTATGCAGAACTGAATGCATATTAAGGTGAGTCATTATGCCTTTCTCCTCTTCATATCCTTTATCTGAAAAATGTTAAGGATTACTTATTCCTTATCAGAGAATAAGGTGAATATTCATTTAGTAGATGTAAAATAGCAAATCCTCAAGATTGCTCATGCTACTGGATTCCTTGACTCAAAAGAACAGGAATATTTCTGATTGTTTTTATATCTATATATCTCTATCTCTATCTCTATATATCCATCCATCCATCCATCCATCCATCCATCCATCCATCCATCCATCCATCCAGGATAAGCTTTCTCAGTGCTTTATTTCTAAAAAAAATAAAGGTGCCAGAACTCACACACGTTATACAACCCGCCTTGCCTACCCTACAAGGTTCCATCCAAAAAAGATGCCGGAACTCCGTTCTGGGCATTCTATGAGAAAAAAAGCCCTGAGCTTTTGCAACTCATTTTATTAGATCCAAGTGATGACGTATGCTGTAGCTCACAAAAATATGTGTTTTTTAATACAATTTATTAGTTGGAAAAGGTTTTACCAGACTCCTCTTGGTTTTTTGCTACCATAGATAACACAGTTCTCCTATTACAAATCCCTTCATGGATTGTTCCCTTGTAATATTAAACAGGTTTGTAAAACACAATAAGCTATAAGATGTACATTTGGGACTGTACAGTCCTAATAGGGCCACTCATGATGGCAGGTCATAGATAACGTGACAAACTAGAAAAGAAAGTGACAACCGGTCCCAGAATGCTGCCAAAAACCAAGTGAACATTCAAAAGTATGATAATATCAGTGTTTAGAAAATAAATCCCTTAGATTGTTAGAAATCCAGTGAGTTATTGCAGAAGAGTAGCAGAACAGGCAAGGATTGGAAGTATTAGTGCTCTTTTGGTAGCAGGCTTAAAGTTGAAAAATTTAACTCCAGGTGTGTCCAGGAGCAAAAGGAAAGTTTAATGTTGCACATAAGAAAGATGGCATTATTTATTTATTCAATCAGTTAGTAGTCAAATTTATATTGCTGTTCATCTCATGAAAGAGTGACTCTGGGTATTGCACAGCAAAACTATAAAACAGTAATATAAAAAACCATTTTTTATACATGAGATATCAGAACTGTGAATCAAGATCAAAGTAAACTTGATGGGATAAAAGCCGGAACACCAAATACTGAACACTGACATCCTGATGCTACAATTGCTATAGATTAGCAGGCGGAATTATACAATCACTTTCATCTTTATTAAGGCTTAACAGGCAAAAGTAGTCTCTATATGTTAAAATCCTCTACCAGGATTTGGTTTGGATAATCTCTAAAGAGGATTGAATATATGAGAACTATCTATGCTAATGCAGCTCAGTAAGGATGGAAATGTTCACATTGTGACGTCTACTGCTCAGTAGTAATAATAACATCTGTAAAATCTTTATAAACTGCTCCATAAGTGGAGAAAGTTGAATCTTTTAGCATGAGGCCCAGACACATAAAAACAGTAATCTGACAGTATATAAGAAAAAATATATATTGTAATATCTATTGATATTAGCAGACCAAAATGGACTAGAATTGATTCAAAGCAGATTTTCTGTTGATAAGAAAATCATAGAGAAATAGTGTAGCTGTTGACAAAATGGTGTCTATCAGTGACTGAATGCCTACC